GAAGGTAAAATGAAACTTCACACAGCCCCTCTGTCCAGATTCAGAAGAAAAAGCACCTTTGTGTTAGAACCAGCATTCCATGATGATTCAATCATTTTAGATTACAGGGATCCTGTAACAAGTAAGAGCTGGCATATTTACCAAGTCCTCTCTAACAAAATAGGAACTTGTAAATGTATACACCACCTTGCCAAGCCCTCAGTGTTGGCGGTCCATGACAAAATGTGATCTTTCAGTTCTCCGGATGATGTGCTAGAAAAGAAATCACTGTGTGGCATCAGGAAATCGCCCTGTTTATCCCTTCTAGGGAGATTGAGATAGAGGATAAGGACCTGACTCGGCTCTGAATGTGTGATGCAGTCCCCCTGGATGTTTGTTTCAGTGATTTCTGTAGGATCAAGGTACTGTACATTAGTAAGTAGGTCATTAACATTGTGATTTTCAAGTGATGAATATTTGACTCTAACCTGGGTATCATTTACTTCACTCTCCTCCAACCTCCTCAACATGATTGATTAGCATGGAGTTGTTGTTTTTTAAAAGATGGAGGTAGCCTTTAAACTTTCGTTCTCCACCACCCCCAGTGGCTCCTCTTTTACTATTGTGCTTTTAATGTGCACAATATTCAACACATATGTTGTCAATATTTGACATGTCTGCTCAGACTGGGTGACCGTGGGAAAGCTCCGGAATGGAAGACCTTTTCATTTCACTCTAAGAAATAAACGTATTTAAAAAAATATATAGTTGGCTGTTTAATTCAAGAACCAGCAACCATAACACCCAAGGTGTCTGACATACATCTGGCTGAATTTGGTAAGTGTTGGATGGCAGTTGTCAATCACTGCCTGGCTTTATTAGCCTCCAAAGAGAACTGGCTCACTGGCCATATTTCAATAGTTGTAGGATGTTTTTTTTCCCTCTACAGCAGGAGTCTCAAACCTCCGGCCCTCCAGCTGTGGTGAAACTACAAATCCCATGATGCATCTCTCTTCGAGAGTCATGTCTGTGGCTGTGAGAATCTTGCAATGCCTCATGGAGGGCCAGAGGTTTGAGGCCCCTGCTCTACGGGGTTTGTCTTAAGGACCTTTTGCTATTCATGTATACATTGTGGAGGAAACCTTTCTTAAGGCTGAACAAGCCCCTGCCTGCTTGCAATCTGGGAATATGTTAATAAATGTAACCCCTTTGAAAGCCTGCAGCCAACACTTTGCACAGCTGCTAGCTTTGATGCCTGATTCACATGTGAAACACTAAAAACATGTAGCACTTGTGGCGCCATTCATTATTAATGGCACCCCAAATGTGATAAGTAAGATGCACATTTTTGCGGCCACAGCTGAAACAACTGCATGAGCTTCTTTTTTTTTTCTTGCTTTGTATAGGGCAGCCTGTTGAAACAAATGGGCTTCTCCATGCACATGCTCAAAAACGGTGTGTGCCTTTGCATGTATAGCAAGTGTTAACTGGGCCATAGTCTTGGCTATCAGTCACAGCTGAGGGCCACACTGATGATCAGGAGCCAATTCTGACGATGTGAACATTGACCGCTATAAAAGGGATCGCATGCAGGTTCTAGTCTTCACTGCCATCTGCAGGCAGCAGTGGGATCTGCAGGGCCATCTTTTTAAGTGTATTTGTCAGGTACAGTTACACTATTAAAAATATCGAACAGAAAAATATTGAAAATAAACTGATCTTTTAAAAAACAGTAGTTTTTTTTTTAGAACACTGTACCAAATAAAAGCCATTATATATTCTTAAACTATGATGTATAATGTAGGAGTGCAAATTATTCCTAGTTTTTATGAAATTGGTTGCTAAATTTGACCTGGGCATCAATGACATTTGGTCACAAAAGATTTAAGTGTTGTGGCATGGCATAGGGCAAAAATAGAACTATTTAATACCGCAGCTTGAACCGCTAGAATGATGTTCAGTAACATATATAGGTCTAGTGTAAAGCATTCCTTGCTTTGCATAAAGTTTTGGCAACAAGCACAGTAGTTCGTCCTCCTACATGTGTAGTTCAGCAAGCTCTGTTTGAATGTTGTTGTGCTGCTGTCAATTATATCTGAGCGGATAGGGCAGACACAATGCTAGTTTTAATATCTATTATATACAAAACCTGAAATATTGGATACTGGCCCTGAGAAATGTTAGAAATCCAGCAGAAGTTTATTAAAACGGCCTTGTAAAAAGATTCAGACTCATTTGCATCATCCAGGCTCTGACAGAAACTGGTATATTTACATAATCCTGTCTATGACCCAACAACCACCGGTGACCCAGATTAAATGTTTGTAGAAGGATTGTGGGTCAGAGAGATAAAATCGCTTCTTGGAAAGCAACAACACTGAGATTAGGCAAAAAACCTGCTCTAAAGCCTGTCGCTTGGTAAGAATGGAAACTCCCCTGTCAGGAAAACAAAAAGAAGGGGGAATGTACTAAAGCTGGAGCAGCTGTACATAGTAACCAATCAGCTTTTGTCTTCATTATCATTTAAACATAAAAGCTAGATGCTGATTTGCTGCTATTGGCAGCTGCTCCAGATTCTGTATACTCCAGTTTTAGTAAATTCCCATTAGAAACCTCTACGGCAGAAAGACTTTCCGTAATATTTGGGTGTGGAACTACATCCCAACTACAAATCGGTGCATATACGCTGCGTTTCTATACTTTGGTGCCAGGCAGGATGGTTTGAGAGATGCCAGTTGCTGTTTTTAGCAGAAGTTGGGCATTTGAAAGGCAGTTGTGTTTAACATGTACAACAAAGGGGGAAGGACTGAAAACCTGTCTTCAAATGTCCCCTCCATGGACCTTTTGTACATTGAGATGCAGAGTAAAGATATGTGAGAAAATCACAGGTGCCAAAACACAGTAACAGCTCCTGAAAATGGTCTTCCAAAGGTATATACAGGGGGGCAGCTCGTCACAGTCAAGGGAACCTGAAAATCTGATGAGGACAAAGCAAAAGGAGCGCCTCCATAGTGTAAAATGGATTTATTAAGGATAAAACACACCGCTGAAAAGGTACTTCCAAACCAGCTTGTATAAACGAGCAGAATGCAATATAATCTTAGGAGACCATCAAGATGAATACGGGGTGAGGGAAAGGAAGTACTAAGCCGAAGCCATCTGCACACTGACCCTCCTTCAGTTGACGTGTTTCTGAGGACAAACCTCTGTCATCAGAGCCCTGATTTTACACTATGGAGGCGCTCCTTTTGCTTTGTCCCCATTGAGATGAAGACTACAACAACCAATATCAGAATCTACAATATGTCATACGTTTGGCTGTATGGGGCAGCGGTGGCCTGTGCAGGATACTTCACCCAGGTACGATAAACATACAAAAAAACATTTGTTTTCATGTCAGAGGTTATTAAAGTCTAAATACCCCAAAACCAAATTTAGTAGCATCGGTGTACTTTGCCTATCAGGGTCTTGACATTTTTCCAGGCAAGGGTTAAACCGTGTTCTTTAAAAATTACAGCTGGCTCCTAACGTGTTTTTTTTCCTCTAGTTGTTGTCAATAAAGCGGGCTCCTAAATCCCCGGCCGGCTGTCATCGGCAGGAAAATTGAACTTTCGGCATTATGCCAAAAGTGGCATTTTCGGACGATATGTTTCGGCAGCCAATATATTGGTGCATCTCTACCGTGTTTCCCCGAAAATAAGACACCGTCTTATTTTTATTTTTTTTTGCACGAAAAAAGACACTAGGTCTTATTTTCGGGGGATGTCTTACCTGGCTGGGGGAGGACTGGACGAGGTCCCGGAAGGCGGCGTGCTGTTGCCGGTCCCGGTGTCGGCGGATGATATTCCGCTTCCATCGTGCGTGCGGGAGCTGCGGGCGTGTGGGCGGGAGCTGCGGCAGGCCGGTCTTTACATTTAAATTTCAGTTT